TGGCATTAGGAAGGTTGGGAACCACTGCACTGGAGCCGCCAAACAGAGATGCCTGGATATTTTCAATTTCCTCATCACCTAAAGGTGTACCATGTATGGTGCCCCAGGAATAAAAAACTTCAAAATTGTCAAGCAAGACCTTTACTCCTACCCAGTTACAGCAGAAAGTGCATGATAGTGCTCCTAGTGGACCTGTACGTTTGGGGGAGGATCAGATCACCCTACAGCAGAGATGCCATACCACCAAACACCGAGCTTGCTGCTTGGGCTGCCCCTGTGTGTTCATGGCCGTGTGCGCAGGTCAGAGGACCCAGAACAAGACACAGCAGTAGAGCCACAGCCTGTACATTCCAACCAGAATCAAACAAGCTGGTACCAAGCCTGCACTCACAGATGACACAGCCCCATGGTCACTTTTTTGGGTGCATGTATTATTCCCACTGGAACTCCTCCTTGCACATGTCGCTCATTAGGGAAAGAGGAGGGAATGGTATTGATAATTTTGAAGCTCACCAAGTACCTTGAAGCTCTTTGGCTAAAGTAGCTTTCGCAACAAGGACTTTGTGCCAAAGCCAACACTTCTTGTGGCACATGAACAAACGCCTTTGGAAAGATCCACATCAAAAACACACACACCAAACCACTGCCATCAAGTCCACTGCCGCTGAGGGACCCCACAGGACGGAGCAGAACCGTGCCTGTGGGTCTCAAGACTGTCAATCTTGACAGGAGCAGGCAGTCTCATCTTTCTTCCTCAGAGGCTAGTGGGTCTGAACCACCACCATGGCGGCCAACAGTCCAATGCTTAACCGATGGCGACACACTCCACCTAAATCTAACTCCCTGTGGTTTGACTTGGATACTTTTGCCTGGAAACCTAAGCTAGCTCCATACTGCAGGCAGTCTTGAACGTTTGTGTACATCAAAGCTGTATGATCAACACCTTTAACGGTTCAGCATCTGTACCTCAGGGGTGGGGTGGAATCATTGATGCGGCAGTAGGTCCCTCCAGAAATACCCGAGCCGACCCTTGACAAGATCAGCGCTTTAAGATGCCTGCAGTAGAAAACCATTGGTTTCTACCGAGAACACAGCGGAGGATCACCGGGAGAGCGCCCAGCTGCACCCTGTGGCAGTTTTGACCTTTGTTAACCTGTCAACCTGGGTTCCCT